ATTGAGGACCAGATATTTTTCCAACATGGTTTTATGCGGACTCACCAATTAAAAGAGCAAAGGGAGTCACTATAGGCTTTGCTAAAAAATGATAAAGGTTTGAGGTTGAGGAGAGATTAAAAACGGATCCGGAGGGAAGGTTCCTGTTTTTGAGAGGTAAATTACAGGGAATTGAGTGCACGGTAGCAAATAATAATAATAGTCCAAATAAGAAGCCGGAGACATTTATGAGAGAAGTGTTGAAGAGATTGATGGATTTTAAAGAGGGTGTCTGATTGTAGCGGGAGACTTTAATCTCTGTATGGATCGTGGATGGACACTAAATTCTGGTATGCGGAGAGAGGAAAGCAAGTCCTTGAGAAGGTTAAAGAAATTGATGCATGAGTGTCAACTGGTGGACATTTGGAGAATTAGGAATATGAAGGAGAGAGATCATACTTTCTTTTCGCATGTACATGAGACTTATTCTAGAATAGATTATATATTAGTAAGAACATCAAATGATAGAGTGGGTGGGGGAAGTAAAAATAGGAGAAAGTACCCTGTCGGATCATGCCCCGGTTGCAATGAAATTAAAATGGGGTAGAGAGGAGCGAGAGGGATATGTGTGGCGGATAGAACGAGGCACTCCTCATGGATGAAGAGATCGGTCAAAGATTGAGAGGGGAAATTGAATGGTTTTTTGAGCGAATGAGACAGAGGATGTGTCCGTTGCAACGGTGTGGGAAGCACATAAAGCCTACATCAGAGGTCTTCTCATTGCAGCGGGGCAAAAAAGAAAAAAGAAAGGAGAGAAAAGATAAATAGATTATTAAATGAAATACATGATTTTGAACAGCTGCACAAAAGGGGGAAAGATCTAAGGAGATAATGCAGCTGTTAATATAAAAGAAGAAAGAAGAATTAGAGAATGTAATGGAGGAAGAAAAAAGAAGAGTCTTTAATAAAATAACATGTGAAAGGTATAGATGGGGAGATAGGCCGGGAAAGTATTTAATGATGAACTTTTAAGAAAGAAAAAAATAGAAATTATATTGAGAAAATAAGGGGAATCCCAAGGGGGAATTTGTACACTGTTCAACCAAGGATATTGCCAGAGTATTTAAGAGTACTATAGAGTGGGCTGTATAATATCATACCCCAGAACATGTTTAAAAAAAAACGGAAATAGTAAATAGAGGGAGAAGAAAGATATATTAGAGGATGCAGGTTTACCGAAATTGGGGAGAAATACAACTGAACTCTTTAGAAGAGAAGAAATAAATTCTGAGGAAATAGAAATAGCGTTTAAAAAGCATGGCGGGAGGGAAAAGCCCGGGCCCGGACCGGATTTATGGTTAAATATTATATAAAAAATATAAAGAGCTTTTAATACCCAAGATGTAAGATCTATATGAACGCTTTGGGAAATGGGATGGAGATGAGGGGAGAATCTTTACAGGCCAATATAGTACTGATACAGAAGGAAGATAAAGACCCCTCACAATGTGCAAGTTATCGACCAATAGCGCTATTAAATGTAGACACTAATAATATTTGCAAAGGTGCTGGCAAATAGATTAAAGGAACTGATGCCGGAGTGGATACATAGAGATCAGGTGGGGTTTTGTCCCGGGAAAGAGAGGGTAGAGATAAATGCTCTGAGATCACTATTGCTCATCCAGGAGGCTAAAAAAGGGAAAATCCCAATGATACTTATGTCGATAGATGCTGATAGAAGGCATTCGACAGAGTAAGTTGGGGTTTTATGATGGACACCCTGGAAGTGTTAGGACTGGGAGACAGAATGAGAGGGTGGATTGGAGAGTTACGACCAGAGGACCCACCGCCACCATAATGGTAAATGGAGGAAGATCAGAGCAGTTTAAGATGTCAAACTAAAGTTTCGGCACAAGACAGGGATGTCCGTTGTCTCCATTGTTATATGTGTTATCACTGGAGCCCTTGTTGTCTAGGATTAGGAAGAATATAGATCTAAAAGGAATAAAGATAGGAGATAGAGAACATAAGGTAGTGGCTTATGCGGATGACCTGATGTTTTATGTAGGAAACCCTAGAACATCACTTCCAAATCTAATGAAAGCATTGAGGGAGTACGGAGACCTGTCAAACTTAAAAAATTAACCCCGACAAAGACCGAAATCTTAACATAAATCTCAAAAATAGTGAAAAAAGAAAAACTACAAGAGGAATTTCCTTTCTTCTGGAGAGATAAAGAATTAAAATATCTAGGAATAAAACTATCAGCCTCAAATAAGAACCTTTATAAAGCCAATTATATATTATTAAATGAAATCAAGGAGGAGTTGAGAAGAGTGGGAAATGGAAATCCATCGTGGATAGGTCGCATAAACTTGATAAAGATGGTAATAGTCCCCAAAGTATTATATAAATTTCAAATGATCCCAATCAAACTTCCCAGAGGCATATTTTAAAAGAACTGAGGAAAATGATAATAAAATGCATATGGAGGAATAAAAAGCCTAGAATAGGTTATGAAACGCTGACCAGAAGCAAAGAAAGAGGAGGACTGGGGGTACCAGATTTTAGGAGATATTACAAAGCAGGGATTATTGCAAGAATCTTCGACTGGATTCATAATCCGGAGAAAACTTGGGTTAAAATTGAGAAAGCACTGGGTGGAAAAAGTTTGAGTAATAGTATCTGGGTTCCTGCACAATATAGAGAATTAGAGGAGAGCACAAGCACGTACACTCTTTAATGTTTTAAAAGAATGGGATTTATTACACAGACAAAAGGGGTGGGTTTTTAATTCACAACTAATGCCACTTAGGAACACAAAATATTTCATCCCGGGAAAAGATAGTATAGCAGGGAAATGGATAATAAAACAGGAAGCGCAATTGAGAGATATAATGGTAGGAGAGGAAATGGGGTCATATAAGGATATGGAGGAAAAGAAAAGGGTGAAGTCTTTAATAAGAATGGATAGACTAAAGATATTACCAACTGAAGAATTTCTTTGAAAGCCTTCCAAAACCAATAAGAACTAGAAAAGACTGGAATCCATTTGAGAGAATCTTTGAGTCACGGGGAAATGGTAGACACGGTACGGCAAAAATACACAAGATATTAATGGAACTTGATATAGACACAAAATTATGCACATAGAGAAATGGGAAAAGAGATATGGGGAGAAAAATAGAGGAGGAGGAGAAGAAGAAGATGTTCACATTAATTCACGAAAATATTAGTATGAGAGAAGTGGAAATAAACTATAAGTGTTTGAATAGATGGCACATTACCCCTATCTGGAGCACAAGATGAATTACAGAAATCTCACAGATGTGTTGGAGAGGCTGTGGAGAGGTGGGCACGTGGTATCATGTGTGGTGGGAGTGTTCAGAAATACAGGTGTTTTGGCGGAGGATAGTTTATTTGATAGGGAAAATCACAAAAATTAACATAGATTAGATCCAGAAGTATGTCTCCTCCATATCTCAGAACTCTCAGTGAAAACATATAAGAGTTCTGGGATATGGCATTACTTGACCGCAGCGAAGAGTCTGGATACCCAGGTTCTGGAAGAAAAGAGAGGTCCAACTGAGGAGGATTGGATGGCTAGAGTAAATCAGATCTCTGGGACAGAAAGATTGTATTACACGCACGAGGACAAGCTGGAGTTATATAATAAAAAATGGAAGGCTGGGAAGAATACAGAGAAAAGGTGAAATATATGAAGTAATAATATTCCTGGAAGCTGGCTTAGAAACTGAGATTTAAAAACAACAGAATAATATGGAGTTAACGAGAGCAAAAAGAATGTTGAGCGTGGGAGGGGTCGGAGGAGATGGGGGGGTGGAGGGGGGGGGGAGGGCAAGGAAAGAAAGTCATATACAGGGATAATTTATGTAAGAAGGAAGAGAAATTATTTGGGATAACTATTTTAATAGAAATGTTGAAATGTTTTTGTATATGAATTGGAAAAATTTAATAAATATTTATAAAAAAAAAAAAAAAAAATACCACCAAAATACAGCTCTGTTTGTGTGCTAAAAATTTCATTTTGACACAGTGTTTGAATGACTAAGTAATTGTTATGCAAAGTGTGACAGCGCTGAAAGCTGAAAATTGACCTGGGCAGAAAGGCGGTGAAAGTGTCTGGTATTGAAGTGGTTTTTAAAGCATATCTATGGTCATAATGTAAAAATCATATATCCATTTCCTCATTGTATTTCAATTTCTTCTAGCCTAGTACTGTTAATCTGAACAATTTTAAGTTTGTAACCTTCCTTTGTGAAGATCCCCACACATTTACTTTCTAGAAATCTGTGACATGTACTCACTGTCACAATTAGAGATGAGCGAATTATTCAAAAAATTCGGTTCGGCTGATTCGCCGAATTCGCGGAAAAAAATTTGCTTCGAGCCGAATATATTCGCTGCAAATTTAACTTATAAAAAGGGTGTTTCTAGCTTCAGAGAGCCTTTATATTAGTGCAGAACACTGTACCATTTTAATTTAAATGCCTTGAGTCTGCTGGGGAAGAGAAATAATACTGTCAGTCAGTATGACATGCAGATGAGGTGCCGTCGATCTTAGAATCACCGCACACTTCACTCATTTGGGCAGTCACGGGGCAAAAACCAGAGTGTGGAGCCACAGTGTGGCGGTGGAGCAGCAGCAATGGGAGCCATACAGCACCCTATGACAAAATGGAACCCACCAGCAGTGTGAGGAGACCTGAAAGTGGCACATGGCAGAGTGGGCGATGGAGACAGCAGCAATGGGAGGCCGTACAGGGACCCATGACACACTCTGGGACCTGGCAGCAGCATGAGGAGGCGGTACAGGGGCCATGACAGATTACGGGCCTGGCAGCAGCATGAGGAGTCGGTACGGGGGCCCATAGCAGATTACGGGCCTGGGCAGCAGCATGAGGAGGCGGTACAGGGGCCCATGGCAGAGTGGCGGAGCGTAAGCAGCTAAAATTGAAGGCCATACAGAGGCCTATGTTAAAAAGTCCCCCACAGCAGCGTGGGGAGACGACTATCAAGAGTCCAATGCAGAGTGGCGGAGCAGAAGCAGCTTCAATTGAAGGACCATACACAGGCCTCGGTTAAAAAAGCGGAAGCCATCAGCAGCGTGAGCAGACGACAGAGACACATGGCGCAGGGTGGCGGTGGATGCAGCAGTATTCGGAAGCCAAACACAGGCCTCGGTTAAAAAGCGGAAGCCGTCAGCAGCGTGAGCAGACGACAGAGCACATGGCGCAGGTGGCGGTGGAGGCAGCAGCAATGGAAGGCCATACAGCACCCTTCACAAATGGAACCCACCAACAGTGTAAGGAGACCTGAAAGTGGCACATGGCGCAGGGTGGCGGTTGAGGCAGCAGTATTCGGAAGCCATACACAGGCCTAGGTTAAAAAGCGGAAGCCGTCAGCAGCGTGAGCAGACGACAGAAGACACATGGCGCAGGGTGGCGGTGGATGCAGCAGTTTCGGAAGCCCAACACAGGCCTCGGTTAAAAAGCGGAAGCCGTCAGCAGCGTGAGCAGACGACAGAGGCACATGGCGCAGGGTGGCGGTGGAGGCAGCAGCAATGGAAGGCCATACAGCACCCTATCACAAAATGGAGCCCACCAACAGTGTAAGGAGACCTGAAAGTGGCACATGGCGCAGGGTGGCGGTGGAGGGAGCAGTATTCGGAAGCCATACACAGGCCTAGGTTAAAAAGCGGAAGCCGTCAGCAGCGTGAGCAGACGACAGAGGCACATGGCGCAGGGTGGCTGGTGGAGGCAGCAGCAATGGAAGGCCATACAGCACCCTATCACAAAATGGAACCCACCAACAGTGTAAGGAGACCTGAAAGTAGCACATGGCGCAGGGTGGCAGTGGAGGCAGCAGTATTCGGAAGCCATACACAGGCCTAGGTTAAAAAGCGGAAGCCGTCAGCAGCGTGAGCAGACGACAGAGACACATGCGCAGGGTGGTGGTGGATGCAGCAGTATTCGGAAGCGAAAAAACACAGGCCTCGGTTAAAAAGCGGAAGCCGTCAGCAGCGTGAGCAGACGACAGAGGCACATGGCGCAGGGTGGCGGTGGATGCAGCAGTATTCGGAAGCCATACACAGGCCTAGGTTAAAAAGGGCGGAAGCCGTCAGCAGCATGTGAGCAGACGACAGAGACACATGGCGCAGGGTGGCGGTGGATGCAGCAGTATTCGGAAGCCAAACACAGGCCTCGGTTAAAAAGCGGAAGCCGTCAGCAGCGTGAGCAGACGACAGAGGCACATGGCGCAGAGGGTGGCGGTGGAGGCAGCAGTATTCGGAAGCCATACACAGGCCTAGGTTAAAAAGCGGAAAGCCGTCAGCAGCGTGAGCAGACGACAGAGACACATGGCGCAGGGTGGCGGTGGATGCAGCAGTATTCGGAAGCCAAACACAGGCCTCGGTTAAAAAGCGGGAAGCCGTCAGCAGCGTGAGCAGACGACAGAGGCACATGGCGCAGGGTGGCGGTGGAGGCAGCAGTATTCGGAAGCCATACACAGGCCTAGGTTAAAAAGCGGAAGCCGTCAGCAGCGTGAGCAGACGACAGAGACACATGGCGCAGGGTGGCGGTGGATGCAGCAGTATTCGGAAGCCAAACACAGGCCTCGGTTAAAAAGCGGAAGCCGTCAGCAGCGTGAGCAGACGACAGAGGCACATGGCGCAGGGTGGCGGTGGAGGCAGCAGCAATCGGAAGCCATACACAGGCCTATCACAAAATGGAACCCACCAACAGTGTAAGGAGACCTGAAAGTGGCACATGGCGCAGGGTGGCGGTGGAGCAGCAGTATTCGGAAGCCATACACAGGCCTAGGTTAAAAAGCGGAAGCCGTCAGCAGCGTGAGCAGACGACAGAGACACATGGCGCAGGGTGGCGGTGGATGCAGCAGTATTCGGAAGCCAAACACAGGCCTCAGGTTAAAAAGCGGAAACCGTCAGCAGCGTGAGAGACCAAAGTGGCACAGGCACATGGCGCAGGGTGGCGGTGGCAGGCAGCAGCAATGGAAGCCATAACACAGGCACCCTATCAGGTTAAAAATGGAAGCCGTCAGCAGCGTGAGCAGACCTGAAAGTGGCACATGGCGCAGGGTGGCGGTGGAGGGCAGCAGTATTCGGAAGCCAACACAGGCCTCGGTTAAAAAGCGGAAGCCGTCAGCAGCGTGAGCAGACGACAGAGGACACATGGCGCAGGGTGGTTGTGGAGGCAGCAGTATTCGGAAGCCATTACACAGCCTAGGTTAAAAAGCGGAAGCCGTCAGCAGCGTGAGCAGACGACAGAGGCACATGGCGCAGGGTGGCGGTGGATGCAGCAGTATTCGGAAGCCAAACACAGGCCTCGGTTAAAAAGCGGGAAGCCCAGCAGCAGTGTGAGCAGACGACAGAGACACATGGCGCAGGGGTGGCGGTGGATGCAGCAGTATTCGGAAGCCATACACAGGCCTAGGTTAAAAAGCGGAAGCCGTCAGCAGCGTGAGCAGACGACAGAGACACATGGCGCAGGGTGGCGGTGGATGCAGCAGTATTCGGAAGCCAAACACAGGCCCTCGGTTAAAAAGCGGAAGCCGTCAGCAGCGTGAGCAGACGACAGAGGCACATGGCGCAGGGTGGCGGTGGAGGCAGCAGTATTCGGAAGCCATACACAGGCCTAGGTTAAAAAGCGGAAGCCGTCAGCAGCGTGAGCAGACGACAGAGACACATGGCGCAGGGTGGCGGTGGATGCAGCAGTATTCGGAAGCCATATACACAGGCCTCGGTTAAAAAAGCGGAAGCCGTCAGCAGCGTGAGCAGACGACAGAGGCACATGGCGCAGGTGGCGGTGGATGCAGCAGTATTCGGAAGCCATACACAGGCCTAGGTTAAAAAGCGGAAGCCGTCAGCAGCGTGAGCAGACGGACAGAGACACATGGCGCAGGGTGGCGGTGGAGGCAGCAGTAATGGAAGCCATACACACCCTAGGTTAAAAAGCGGGAAGCCGTCAGCAGCGTGAGCAGACGACAGTGGCACATGGCGCAGGGTGGCGGTGGATGCAGCAGTATTCGGAAGCCAAACACAGGCTAGGTTAAAAAGCGGAAGCCGTCAGCAGCGTGTGAGCAGACGACAGAGGGCCATGGCGCAGGGTGGCGGTGGAGGCAGCAGTATTCGGAAGCCATACACAGGCCTAGGTTTAAAAAGCGGAAGCCGTCAGCAGCGTGAGCAGACGACAGAGACAGCATGGCGCAGGGTGGCGGTGGATGCAGCAGTATTCGGAAGCCAAACACAGGCCTCGGTTAAAAAAGCGGAAGCCGTCAGCAGCGTGAGCAGACGACAGAGCACATGGCGCAGGGTGGCCGGTGGAGGCAAGCAGCAATCGGGAAGCCAATACAGCAGGCCTATCACGTTAAAAATGGAAGCCACCCACAACAGTGTAAGGAGACTGACAGTGGCACATGGGCTCATGGAGGCGGTGGACAGGCAGCAGTAATTTGTGAAAAGACATACACAGGACTAGTTTTACTTTCAAAACGCGGAACGCCGTCTGCATTGTGAGCAGACGACAGAAGGCACATGGCGCAGGGTGGCGGTGGAGGCCGCAGCTCTCAGATTCCCGGGAAGCATACACAGGCCTAGGTTAAAAAGCGGACGCGTCAGCAGCGTGAGCGCCGACGCAGCGTGCACATGGCTCAGTGGTGGCTGACGGTGAGAGCAAGCAGTATTCGGATGAAGCCAAACACAGGCCTCGTTTAAAAAAAAGCGGGGGAAGCCTTCATCAGCGTGAGCAGATGACAGATGCACATGCGCTAAGGCTGGCGGGTGGTAGCATGCACAGAGCAATGGAATAGGCCATACAGCACCCTATCACAAAATGGAACCCACCCCCAGTGTAAAGGGGGACCTGAAAATGGACATGGGCAGGGTGGCGGTTTTGGGGCAGCAGTATTCGGAAAATACACAGGCTAGTTTAAAAGCGGAAGGTCCAGCTTTAGCAGAGAAGAGGCCCCTGGGCAGGGTGGGGTGGAGGGGCAGTATTCGGAAGCCCCACAGGCCCGGTTAAAAAGCGGAAAACCCCTCGCGCGTGAGCAGAGACAGAGAAAATGGCCAGGGTGGCGGTGGGCAGGTATTCGGAAAACCAAAAAAGCCCCGGTTAAAAGCGGGAAACCCTCAGCAGCGTGAGAGACGACAGAGAAATGGCGCCGGGGGGCGGTTTGGGGGCAGCAGATGGAAGGCCATACACACCTATAAAAAGGACCCCCAACAGGTAAGGAGATAAGGGCAATGGGCAGGGTGGCGGTGGAGGGGCAGTATTGGAAGAAAAACACAGGCGGTTTTAAAAGCGGAAACCGTCAGCCCGCAAGG